TTCACCTGACGTCATCAACACATATTTCCAGACCATCAACACTGACGACGAATATGAGGCTCCAACGCGTCTTCAAATACCAGCAGGAACCCGTCTGCCGACTGTGAACAAATGTGATGTACGAAACTTTCTGTCGCATCAGAAACGAACCGCCTCGGGGCCTGATGAGTTTCCCTATTGGCTTTGGCGCGATTATTCTCACCATCTTGCACCTGTGATCACCAAAATTTTCAACTGCTTACTTAGGTATCAAACCGTTCCATCTCTGTGGAAACTAGTAAACGTCTCGCCCATCCCTAAGGAATCTCCTCTGACTGAATGCAATCAGCTTAGACCGATCTCATTAACCAACATCATAATGAGAATTTTTGAGCAAACAAGAAGTATCTCCCATCCTCAAGTCAGCGATTGGACCTGACCAATTCGCATATAAGAAGGGACCCAACACAACTATGGCCCTTATTAAGTGCCAACATTTTTGGCTTGAGCGACTAGGCCGAGATGCGGCTTTTGTAAGAGCCTTCTCATTCGACTTCAGTAAGGCTTTTGATTCAGTCTCCCATCGCATTCTATTCAGCAAGTTGGCGTCGTATGACATCAATCCATACATTAAGAACTGGATAATAAGCTTCCTGTGTGATCGCCGACAGAGAGTAGTGGTTGATGGAGTGGTTACCAGTTTTCTCAACGTCAACAGAGGGGTTCCCCAGGGAACTGTGCTTGGACCCTTATTGTTCTCTATCATGGTGAATGATATTAAACCGGTCAGCCCCCAAACCCCACTGATCAAATATGCTGATGATATCACAGCAAGTGTGCCTGTCACAACTGGCTCTAATCTTACAGATTCATCACATTATGAAGTAGAAAATATCAAACGTTGGGCGGATAAAAACCTGATGACAATAAACACGAAGAAGACCTTTGAGATGGTTGTTAAAGGTAAAACCACAATGCCCCTTCCAGAGCCCGTGGACGGAATAACTAGAAAGAGCGAACTAAAGCTGCTAGGAGTTACTGTAAACGAAGATCCATGTAACTGGGACGTTCAATTTGAAAATATGCTTAGCAAAGCAAGTTCTAGACTGTACATCCTCAGAGTCTGCAAATACTACGGCTTCTCACTACAAGAACTTACACTGCTGTTTGACAGTCTAATTATGTCACTTTTCACTTACGCAATTGAGGTGTAGGCTTCTGCCCACTACAGTAAATATCTCTCTCAATCCAGGAAGAAGAAGGAAGAAACTAGCAGAACATGACTATGCGAATTGTGGGAGGAGATTATTTCAGTTTTTCTTGCTTACGAAGCGCGAAATTTAAATATACTCGGATTGAACAGTCGAGTCGAATGGGAGAAATTGACGAGCGTGTGCGACTATTTCCACTCGCCATTGTTTTTTTAACTCCTTGAAATACGGAAAGACAAAGATACCCGTAACCTACATGAATTAACGACGCGCGAGGCTTCGGACGTTATTACCAGGTTTAAATCATACGCTAGAGGAAGGAGAATATGAACCTTTTTGTGCACATCAGGAACAAAATCTCATTCACGCAGCGCGAAATTTAAATACCCGCACATTAAACAATCGAGCAAATGACGATAGTCTTCTACATGATTCGGCGTGGTAGGCTTCGGACGTTAATACCGGTTATACATGCTCTCAACACTTTAGTATTGCACAGTGAGCCTCTAATTGAATATATCTTTCGCCAGTTTTAAGCAATGTAAAGGAAAAAACGGTGACATTTCTTTACTTCAGATACGAAAGCTACAGTCGCCCCACCATCCACCCCACCGTGACTATTTGCATCCTAAAAAATCTACCATAATCACCCCCACGGGGAGGATTTGTCGTATCATCAGTTTTGCCGATGGTTTAAATCTGCCGCTCGTATGATAATCGGAAATTTGAAAAATCTCGCGTGTATTTTAAAGCTGTTTCCGCCATTGTTCCAAAGTAGCCATGCAGCTATTTCAATTTACGTTGTCGGATCAAAGCCTCAAGCCTACAAGACAAGACCGAAGGGGAATATGGGATCTTAATGAATAATTATCAGCAAAATTAACAATGCCTCGTCCATACAGCGAAGATCTCCGATGGCGAGCCATTTGGATGAAAGAAATGTTGGCAATACTAATTGTATTTTCAGCCTCCATGTCCATCTCGCGCCGACAACCCCGAAAGCCCAAAAATTAATTCTAATCTACCCATACCGCCTTTCGGTCTTGTCCCGTACCCTTGAAGCTTTGATCCGACAACGTAAATTGAAATAGCTGTATACGGTCATTGTTAATCGTTAAACAAAGCCTGCTCAACTTTCAGCTGATCCGCTTTTCTTGATACGGTTTACCTTTGGTAATACAGGACTTAAAATACTGACGCAATACTGACTTCAGTATGATTTTTTTATCTTTTTCCAATTGGATGTGTGAGATTGGTGACGAGTTTTCATCACTCTCTGATAGATTCAATTAGACAAATATTAGGAATAGTTTAAGTACCTAGTTTTCGTGGGAAAGTTTACGGTTTGAAACATCAAAGTACTTCATGGCCATTTAGTAAATACTCAAATATCGAAATAGTTACCATTAGCTGTGTGCAAATAAGACAGCTTCGTAATAAAAGTTTCATCATAAATCGGAAGGAACCACCTATTCATGGCTTAATAATTTTCAACTTGCACGCCTTCTTCTCCGTAACCCCGCAAAGAAAAGATTATATATAAAAGGGTCATATTTAAAACATAATCGGAGGGTCTCAATGGGGTGATGGTTGTTACGCCTAACGGTTAAAAATTCTGGCCATTTTACGGTTAACAGTTAATTTCTTTCCATTGCTTTTAAAAAAAAGATTTTTGCGGTTACTTTTTTTAACGACAAAAGGTTAAAAATGCAAAGAAAAGATTATATATAAGAGGGTCATATTTAAAACATAATCGGAGGGTCTCAATGGGGTGATGGTTGTTACGCCTAACGGTTAAAAATTCTGGCCATTCGTCAATTTATACGCTTAACCCTTCAACTCCTAAGATCGCATTACTAATTCTCTTAACTTTCTACCAGATGATTCTCATGATGTTAGTTTGGAGAATTTGGTATCAGATCAATTAGTTATCCCATGATTGGTATTCTTCTTTATTCTCATCACTTTTCTGCATGATGCTGTATAGATATAGTAAGGAGAAATTCTGTCTTGGTCGCGCACGGGAGTTAAAGGGTTAACTGTTAATTGTTTTTGCCGTTTTACGACGAACCCATTGAGACCGGCTCTAATCAATTAGGAAGGGAAGGTAAGGATATAAACGAAACCTATCGCCAGAGTACTTTCTTCATAATTTCAATGTGGAAATTAGACTGGCTGATAGTTGAGAAACTGCCTTATATCGATTTATCTGAAAGTGGATATTCATCTGAAACGCAAATTCAGGTGCAGAAGCAACACTTGGGTTTCTCGGTCGCAGAAATGATAGAACTTCTCAGACCAAGGATTGCTAGCCTTGATTTTTAAATATTCGAAATTTAGAAAAGAAGCCAAATTAAAAAGTGATGGATTTAAAAAAGAAAGTTACAGATGAGGAAAACCTTAGCATATCATGTCTTCTGTACAAGAAGTACTTTACCGCAGGGAATTTTTTTAGTGCGCATTTGTGGATTGATTGAGATTTTGAAAATCCATGTCATGATTGCCAGGACTGCCCAATAGTGTGTTTGACAGTTTGGGATTCTTTTGTTTGTTTTCTAAGAATCCTTGGCCGTTTTACATTATTTACACAATGCACCTGACAAACTACTCTTTGTTCAGTCTTTGTTTACTAAGTCTGCAGGTGTAACAAACTCTAAGAAAATGGTCTCTTTTTTCCAAATCGCTACTGTATTGTGATAGAAAAGAATAAAAGCATCAAAGTATTCATTCAAAACTGATTTTAACAACCCCATCGATGCGATGGCGGTTGTAACTCAGATTCACAGCCGCACGATGTGAACTCGAATGTATATCATCTGCAATTCATTATTCAGATACAGTGGCGGGAACCGACGCCAACATCAAACAAAACCATGGCAATCTAAACAAACAAGCCTTGATGAAAAAAATCCCACGTTTCTCTTTCTGAGCGATAACAAAAACAAACACAAAATAAGGGCTATTATGAACATGCCGTAAACACTTCCCACTCCGCCATCGAAACCTTTTCTGCGATTACGAGAGCCGCTTTTCACAACCCACAACTCTTCAAGAAAATAAACATAGACTTTAACTTATTTGGCGTTAAAAATTACAGTTTAATTTAAAAGACGCCTTTTTTTTTCGCACTTTTTTCAGGAGCGTGTCTTTAGTTGAGCACGATTACTCTTTGAACTGGACGTTGAGTGCAAAGAGAACTTTCCTTCGAATGATGATAAAGTGCAAGAGATCATCTATGGACGAAAGAGGAAATATCGTCCTCCTAGGCAGTGAGTTGAAGGAATTGTAAGGCTCGGTTTCAGATCCTCTCCTTGTTGCCATCAAAAACATTTTCGTATTTCATATCTGCGGTGGATTGTAAAGACGTCGACAGACCCAACGGTTCTTCTTTAGAAAGTCATTTGTTATATTTACATTTTGTGGCAGAATAGGAACAAAAGGCAAGTTATGTATAATGTAGCCAGCAATTTGATGAATTGTGTTCGTCAATTTTACTTCAGCTAAACATGATTGTGCTTAAGACTAATATTTTGACGGTCATAAGTCCAATTCAAAAAACTAGTTATTGACCAATGAAACAAATACATCATAAAGATTTACCATGAGAATCTAGTTAAAGAAACGCTTTGTTTTTTTATTTTATTTTATTCCTTTTTTTACGAGTCACCTATGATCAGTTCGTTTGATTAAAACTGTGTAAAACTGAAAATATACCAATCTAAATTAAGCATTTCTTTTTTTGAAATTTTTCTGTTAGACGTGGTCTGGCGGGAAACGGCCGAATATAATTTTTAACCACAAACCCTGATCATGTACGAAAATATTAGCGACAATTTCACGCAGTTGGCCCACGGAAAAGTGATGACTGTGTGCTTCGAGTCTGACCAGCCGGTGATAAAAGCTAGCCGTGTGCTGGCCTACACAATCATCCTACTATTCTCGCTATGTGGAAACTCCCTGGTTATTGGTGTCCTGTGGCAAGACCGAAAGATGCGCAAACCAGTCAATTATCTTATAGCCAATATGGCTGCCGCAGACTTGGCTATAACTGTTGTATACATGCCCAGGATGATATCAGCGGTGATACGAAGCTATGATTGGCTAGCTGGAGGCACCATAGGCCTCGTCTTGTGCAAAACCGTTCCCACAACTCACCTGGTATCGGTGAAAGTAACAATCCTAACTCTAGTATTTCTCAGCGTGGAGAGGTTTTTTGCAGTTTCGCCGTTTGCAAATAACAGGTTAACTGTGCGCAGAGTCAAGGTGATTCTCATTGCAGTTTGGTTGATGTCTTTTATTGTTCACCTGCCAAATGTCATTGCGCTGAAACTGGTGCCTGGTCAGGGGGGAGCACTGATTTGCCGAGCATATCTAAACAAATTGTTTGTAAGCTCAAAAGGCAGGAAAATTTATGACAACGTCTTGGCGGCCATTTTTTATGCCCTTCCTTTGTTTCTGATAGTCCTTCTTTACTCGCTGGCTGTGATTAAGCTCAGAAGAAGGAGCGTCGCAAACAGGTATGCAGCCGCAAATGCACGCAAAGCTTCCAAAGATAAGGTGAACGCAAACGTTTTTAAAATGTTGTTTGCTGTTACACTCGCATTTATATCATGTTGGCTCAGTTATTTCGTCATGCGCAAAGCCATCATCGGAATTTCAATATCGTGCAATGTTCAGTTTGTCAGGTACTTCTTAGCTCATTCCAACAGTGCTGTGACGCCATGTTTATACATCATTTTCAGCCAAAAGTACCGCAGTAGTTTCAAAAGCATCTTAAAGAAACTTAAATGCCGTGCTCCGAGTCGACTACGTGGCGGAGCAACACTGTCCGTGATCTCTCAGTCGGCAACAAGTTTTAGTTCGTTAGGTGTTTTCCCACGAGGAGTCCATCTCGTAAGTCTCAGAGCCAACAATGAGAATAGGACGACAGTCTAGTCTTGAGTGCTAGGAATGAGCTGAACTCTGAAACGAGGAAGCTTCTGGCTCGCTTCAAAAAAAACGTTACGTATCAAATCACTTGGAAAGGGAGATTACAGAGCACCTTTAAATAATTTTCAGTGAGAAAATTCAAGGTGACTGAGTTTAGGAGCTTGATAATTTACTGAAAAGAGAGTGATCAGGAAACTGAAAAAAAGCGATTTGGAAATACTGGTTTCTATGTATACCAGACGCATTCGAATCGCAAAACATATTTGGTAGAAACTTATCGGGTGTAGAGTTAAAATCACATGTCATATGACCGGTACCACATAAGCCTTTACCCTTAGATATAGAAAAGGGGGTTTATTCAAGTAGTGGAAGGAGTCTTATCGAAAACCCACTGAGAACCAAAATATTGAATCATAAATTTTATTCTGAACTGTCTCCCGGCCTGAATTAAAACTGTACTCAGTATGCAAATGTATGGATGATAAACCTTCCGTAATCAGAATGAACTAATATAGGCTTTCAAATATAAGTGTGAGGTACAAGGGAAGGAGACTCATCAGAGGGGTCATTTGTGTGTTTACTGAACGTGTATCAGTTGTAGTTGCAATTAGTACGAGTCACATAACGACAGTCCATAAAGACATGTTTATTAGCTAGTCAGTGTTACAGACATTGATACAAAGACAGACAGACAGACAGACAGGGAGAGGGACAGCCCCACCCACCCACTAACAGGCTGGCCAACCGATTGATCAGCCAACACACTGATTGACTGATTAACAGACCAACTGCCAAAGGACTGAGTGAATGACTGATAGACAGACAGAGAGATGGATAGGCAGACAGACAGACAAGGAGAGGGACAGCCCCACCAACCCACTGACAGGCTAACAGAATGACTGGCCAACCCTACTGACCAGCCAACACAATGATTGACTACTTATCTGACCAACTGCCAAAGCACTGCATAAGTGACCGATAGACAGACAGAGAAATGGTGGACAGACAAACAGACAGGCAGGGAGAAGGATAGTCCCTCTAACAGGCTAACTGAATGACTAGCCAACCTACCGACCAGCCAATACACTGACTGACTGATTAACTGACAACTGCCAAAGTACTGAGTGTCAGACTGAGAGATGGTAGACTGACATCAAGACCAAAATAAAACCTCAAATTGAAAATCTCTTTAGGAGACAGCCATGAGACACAAAGTGGAGGAATCTACTTGTGCTGACATGACATTGTATGTACACAGATTCAAACTGCTAACAAGACCATAAATATTTATTTAAATATTTCATAAAAATGAAAAATACAACCAGTAATATTACTCATTACAAAATGTTACCTTAAACTATATACAGCTACATGTAATCAGGTAAACAATGCAATGTAATTGTTATTACTTTTTAAGTATTTAAGCTTGGTCTGTTCTTCAAAAGTTTAGTAAGTTAAAAATACAAATTTTAGTCTGTTTCTCCGAAACTCACAAATAAAAAGTCTTTTTCTAACACAAATTTATCTTAGTTTAATGATCACATATCAGTTAATAAATTATATCTTTAAACATTAAACCATTTTCACAGGTGTCTTGTTAAATGAAATTCTGTTGACTCTTGAGAAACCTAGTCTAAATTCTGCACAGGTATACTTGTATACTTGTATATCTGGTGTCCTGAAAATCTTTATTTTATAACCCACAGCCTTTGCAAAGCTGTTTCTACTACTACAAACAGCCTTACACGCACTTTATGTATGTGCAAATCCTAAGCAATGCATGCGCAGTACATGCCAACTGAGTGCCACTACACACACCTATGTGTAATAAATGCAAGCATGTACTGATTCTTGCAATAACTACATGAACCACAGCTAAAACCAAACTAATCATGGCCCTGTTTGATTACGTGTCCCCCAAAGCCCATCATTCAGCTTTGACCTCCTCTCCTCTCTTTACGTTTTTGATATCTTTTATTGCCTGCCTCAAAACGTCTTGCCTCCTCCTCAGTGTGAAGTTCCAAAAAGGGAATAGCTTGGGGTCTTCTTTTTTCATCAAGGGACACAAATGTGAAGTATGCACTGCAAGCTCTTATGCTGTCATCTGTGTGTCACAAGAACATATAAGTTAAACAAATAGGACATTACAGCAGTTTTCAATAAGATCCAAACTCTTAAGTTAAGGAACAACACAGGTCATTGAAAATCCATGAAATTGTCAATCATGCTATAAATTTCTCAGTAAACACAGACAATTTTTAAGGAGTCAAATTGTCATGCACTGCAATGTGATTGAAGGATTTTTTAATTTTTTTCTGCTTTAAGATGCCAGTTGTGAAAATTTCTGCTTTTGTCCCACCCCCATAAATATGAACAGAACAGAATGGCACAACTTTGGGAATGGGACCAAACCTAGAAGGGGAGGCAGGAGATGATGTGTTTAATCCACATTAAATGCATATATTGTTCAATAGATCAGAAGTGAGTGAGCGAGTGAGTGAATTTCAGGTCCACACTTAAACTCTGAATCTTATATTATGACTGATGTCATCCCATGAGGTAAAAATACTGACTGACTGACTTATATCAACCTTTATGTTGAATGCCTTTTATGATAATAATGGTTTTATTTTTACAATAATCAATTACAAAGTACCCCATATGAGGATTACTAGCAGAAAGTTGATTAGAAGAGCAGGAAACTGTTACTAAATACTGTACCTGTATGATAGTCCTTGGCATATACAACAACCTCAATCTCCATTGACTTGGCACTAGTAAATGTTGCTCGGCCAGTAATATGTATAATATGACCAAGCTTGACAGGGGCATGGAAGTCAATGGCATCTGGAATGACAAACACAGTAATTGAAAAAGTAGAGAACGAGTGACTATTAGGAAATTTGAGATTATTGACATTGTTAGGTCCGGTGCGCATGCAAGCTCTCTTAAGTTGCTATTATCAAACTCTTTGGGCAGACTAAGAAAAAATGTAAAATTCAAGTCTAAAGAAAGAATTGTTTACTTTATTCTCAACTACAGTATGACCAAGTCTAGTAACCATTTGATTACTGATGGAGTCCAATTTCTCACTATGACTGGAGCAAAATTGGGGAACACAAAGTCCTCTCACCAATTCATCAAAACTGGGATAAAACTTAACCCTTTAACTCTCATGAGTGACCAAGACAGAATTTCTCCTGACAATATCAATACAATATCAACCAGATAAGTGATGAGAGTAAAGAAATATATAAATTTGCAAATAATTAGTTGATCCAATACTAAATTCTCTGAACTAACATTGTATGAATTATATAGTTGACAGTAAGGAGAATGACAAATTTGATCTGGGAGTTAAAGGGTTACAAGAAAACTACCCATAGCAAAAGTGTATTCCTAAATAAAGAACAGTTGCCTTTTTCCCATGAGAAAAGGAACAAAATAGTCAAGAAAACAGGTAGTTTGATCATCAGGAAGAAAGATGTCCTGAGAAGGACTGTTGTAAATTGTGGTGAGTGACATTTTGACTACCTTAGCAGAAGTTATCAACAAAGTCACAAATGATGCAGGTGATATTTCCAGAGGTAACAAATAGGATAAATTGTTATATAAAAATGTGCATGTGGAGACAATATACATGTACTTTGGAATCCACTTTCATGAAATCTCAAACTGCCGTAAATTAGAGCACATGACTATCAATGCTCTAAATTGTTCAGTTAAGATTTCAGATGTAAATGATATTTTCTCTAAGAAAAGTAAACCCACCGATGGATGCAGTGACCACATTAGTTTTACAATGTCTAAATGCCACAATTCCTGCCACCTCATCCATCATTTTCATGGTCACTCCTCCAAGAACAAATCCAGCTTTTGTACACTCTGATGGCTGTACTGAATGGATCAATGATGATTCTGAATTCAACACACTATAACGTGACACATTCTTTCCAGCTGGGTGAACTAATGGGGAAACCACATTGTTGCTTGGGGGATTCTGCAAAGATAAAATGTACTTTAAGGTATACAGGCAGGAAAAAATGTAACATCCAAAAAAGAACTTTATCCTTAAATTGTGTAAAAATGTGGGTTTGGTTACACAGTCCAACTAAAGCTTGCTATGGGCCAATAATAAACCACAACAAAACTGCTAACATAATCGTTTATTTTTATTTTTAAATATATTTTTTTCTTCACCTTGAAAGACAAATTCACTAATACTTAAATACTGAACACAGGAATACAAAATGGAGTGTCATGGAACAGGTGATGGTAAAGACAAACTTATCGGCTTAAGGGTGTTATCTTCATTCAACACCAAATTATCTCAATGTATTTTATAGAATATATCTTGCAGCTTGAAAGGAAATTAGATATTAGGTCCTAAGTATAAAGGTTAAATGGAAGACCCATCACTTTACCGCCTTACAAGTACCTCTTGGAAATGTTCCTCCTTATCAAGCCTGGCTCTCTTCTGTAGTTCGTATCGCTCTTTGCCTTTTTCCTCCTCATCTTTGCTGGAGTACTCCAACGAGGGAACCTCAGGAATAATTCGAACATCTGACCCCATTACGATTGGAACATACCAAAGAGAGGCGCGATTGGTCAATCTACGACTTCCGGTTAGAACATTTTCTGCCCAGACACTGGCTTTAACTTCTAATGATCGCTTCGATGCGTAGCCCAACTGAACGTGAACTTGTGCAACTTCACCGATGAACATCGGTTGTATAAAGTCAGTTCTTTCCACACGTGCCAAAGCAGCCAGAACGGGCTCGTCTTTGGTTCGATTCCTGTTGCAATGCCTTGTTGCTATTATGAACCCTCCTTCCTCGATCAACTTCAGAATCGTGCCCCCATGAACATTGCCTGCTAAGTTGGCATCATCAGGATGCATAAGGCGACAAACTTCTATTGATCCACGAGAAATGGAATCTTCAACTTCTTTTGATGACTCAGCTCCGGCCACTTTCGCCGCCATATTGGATTTATCCTCGGTCAGCGGCTGAATTGTTTGTTCACGCGTGTTCGAACAAACGGAAGTCAAAATGGCGGCAGAAGAAGAAGATGACGATATCTGGGACAGTTGGGAAGATATGGCAGATTCTGGGGTAAATAATCTGCAGATAATGTTTATTTCCCTCACTTTTGTAATTCATATAAATTTCTACCCAGTCAAAACTCCCATTTTTTGAGGGTTTTTTTCTCGTAAATTGTATCAATGAACTGTAAGGTAGTTTTCACATCTGCCAGTAATTAACCCCTGGATTCCAGGAATGACATCGTGTTCCAACCGCTGTCGATCTAGTAATGATAATACTACTTTTGGAGAAACAGGTTTTTACCTATAATTTTATTTGCCAATGAATTTATTGGTCGAGTTTACAACTGATTTCATTTGTAGGAATTAGAAAGACGAATGGAAGAACGGGAGAAACAGATACGAGAAAAGGACCAGAAACCTTCAATTACATCTATAAAGTAAGACGAGTCACAATACAAAGCTAAATAAAAAAAAGTATATAACATAAAGGAAAGTCTCAAGTGAGTATTTTTGTGGTTAAATTGAAGGACATTGAAGCAATTTCCATATACTGTACTGTAAAGATAAAAATAAATTCAGTAATATTTTATTTCCAACTTTCCCTATAAATTAAACCATAAGTGTTCGCGGGGAAAAACGTTTCAAAAAGCCTCTTCATCATAAAACCATGTCTGTATGGTATCCAGTGCCAGACTGCTGCCTTGTGAATGCTTTACATGTATTGAGTTAGGAAGATCACTCCTACATTTTTTTTTTAATTATTTCCTTCATTTCAACAATCACAACCTTTGAATAATTACAAAAAAATAAAGGAAATGGAGAAGGGCATAATATAGCAAGCTAATTAGATGTCCTTTTACACTAAATTACAATTTTTCATAGTCAGTAAAACAAGAGGAGTACATATGTAACAGAGAGAATCAGGATCACACCTTTAACAACAAATGTAATAATAGCACATGGTAAAAAGGAAGATATTTATTAATACTGAGAAAAGTAAAACATAAGAATTGCTTTTTCAAAGATTTTCCTAGTGGGTTTCTCCCATATTGACATAGGAATATCATTCTAACTGCACATCTTCAATAATTTTTTTTTTTTATTTTTATTTTATCTCGAATTATTATGATTTTTTTTTTTAACATACCTCAAGACTTGTAGGGCCAGTTATTTACATGAAGTCTAACCCAAACTGCAGTTTTACAGAAGCTGTGGACCTCAGGTTTTCTCTTTGATGACTAATTAAATCAATGCCCTTCCACTGTTAGCGTCTGGTCCTCTTGATACTGTTCATAATTATGGATGATCAGTTAAAAAGTTCAGCTGAATTGAAGATAATTTAGATCACAGTTTTGTTAAACATTGGTTAAACTTTGTTTGTGTAATCAGACGTTTATGTGGGGACTTGTTTTGGGCATAAGTGAAATGAAACTGATAGTAAATCATAGAAACAATTCTACTTGCTCATCATTTCTTTTAGAAAGCAAGAAACTAAGACAGGTTCATCCATTCTGATGCAAGAAGATACAAACCGAACTCTGTACAAGCCACAGGTAATTAAAATTGTAGTTGATAAAGCATGCATTTAATATGATATACTGTGTACTATAGTCCTGTATACTTTCAACTAATAAGCTAGCTCTCCTTACTGATGACTACATTATTTTTGTGGCTAGTGCCTCCCATAGGAGGCCATTAGTCACATATGTACATGTGCATTGTCAAGATGAGTGAGCAAGTAACTGGGAATTTTGTAGAGAGACTTCTAGCCACTAGTGAATTATGTTTTCAGCTCTTCCCATGACACAACAGAGGACAGCAGGAGATAATAAACATCTCACAATAATTTCAGAATTGCACATAATTTACAGCAAAAGTTTTCCTTGTACAAATATTGTAATAGGTATGATTGCACATCATGGAACTAAAAAGAAAATTATTTTCTTTGAAGAGAGAATATTTTACCATTTAAATCAGCAAACTAAGAGGAGATTGATCTTTTCAGTTTTTGCCCTCACACTACAAAAGGCAATGAACATATCAAAATTATTTCACAGTGGCATCCAACAAGGCATTGTTTAAATCAAAACTTTTCCATGGCATGCAGAAATATCTCAATAGATCCATTCTGAACATTCAAACAGCTTGAATCTGCAACTTATTCTGAAAAGAGCCACTAAGTTGCAAAGGGAGCCTCTGCAAAACACAATACCATGAGTTGTTCAACAAAATGATGGAATGGAGGAACAGTGGATCAGTGGATCAACAGTGGATCAGTGGATCCACAGAATGGTAGAATATCTTTAATAAGACAAGGAATGACGGAATATCCTAAAATGCAGAATGCCTTTTTGTACAAAAAAAAAGTCTGAAGAAATGGAATTGCAATGGAAATAATAAAATTATTTAAATCAAACAGCAGAATTCAAAGAGGCATAGGTGATCTTGTTGAAAGAGGACTGAGGAACCATAGGGCTTTAGAGCTGGCCCTTTTAAGTTAAATATTGTAATATCATGATTGTTATCATTTTTATTATTGTTAATATTATTTGTTTCCATATAATTATTAGGTTAATGTCAATTAGACAATATATTATTGAATCGTCTTTCTCTTGTGGAACAGGGTACTCATAAATATTTAGGATGCAGCAGGTTTTCTGTTGTGCATGTGAGACAAATATTCTGCAACGCCACCTTCTAGTGTCATTGTACAACCCCAGGAACAATCAGTACTATAGATAATTATTATCCTTGAAATTGTTTGTCAAGTACTCTGTCAAGTATAACCATCAGCAAAATGAAAACAAAGAAAGCAAATTAGCTGAGTAAATTAAGTAAAACTGCAGAGCCTCTCTCTACAAAATTCCCAGTAGCCTTCCTCTTTACAATTTAGGTGTATTGAGGTGATTTTATCCTTGTGTAAATTGCATTTAGCCTCACTCTTACTTGTATAACAATAAAATGGGGAATAAACAGGGGTTTTCAGGCCCAAGATACTACCTGTTTGGATGATAGTATAGTATGTACAGTATAGTACTGTGCATTATGTTGGTAAGATTTGAACCTGCAAGTTGTATGTGGTTTAGTGTTTTCAAGTTGCCAGATTCTGAACTTCATGTACTGTTTCTTTTAATTTTTATATTGTAGTTGAGAATATTAAAACGACCAGATTCTGGTGGAACAAATAATTTGAAAAATCAGGAATCCTCCAAGGAGAAGCCTGCTCATAAAACATTAGCAGAGAGACAAGCACAATATGCAGAGGCTAGGTAAGGAAATTTTTCAAAATGAGACAAGCCTGGAACAGGTGTAAATTGTTCTAGATATATACAGTTTTTTTAGTAACCTTTTAATCCATAAAAGTAAACAATATATAGCAGTTGTATCATAAACCTGGTTAACCCTTTAATTCCCTTGAGGAATTTTATTTTTGCAATACTAATGCAATATCAAGCAGACAAGTGATGAGAATAAAAAAACATATATCAATTAGGGGATTTCTAATTGATCCAATTTCTAAATCTCCAAACCAACATTATAAGAATTGTATGGCAAACAGTAAGGAGAATTACAAATGAGATCTGAGGGGGGGGGGTGAAAGGTTAAAAGGTACATAGTGTAGATGTAGTTGTCTAACAAATAATATTATGCTGAATATTGTTGAATGATCTCTGCAACAATGGCAAGGGGATTATTCAACAATATTCACTGAGCCTGAGGCAAATAATTGTTTTATTATATTTGTTTAGGTGCTTTCCTTTTAATCCTGAAACTATTCTGTTTAAATTGTTTCGATTAAGAGCCAGTTTACAGTAGAATTTAACAGGTTCACTTAATTCATACATGTATCTTTGTTTTGGAAAGTGATACTCCAATCTTAGTAGCATCTTTTGTGCTCTTTGAAATTGAATTTTTTGTTATTTCATTCATCATTTCCTTAATAACACTAACAAAATGTGAGGCATGCAGCCACTTTGAAATTTAGCGCTCTTGCTAAGATCACCCCACATTAGGTGATAATAGCAAGATATGATGGAATCCTTGACCAATCATAGGGTGTGTATCTCCATAATCACCAGAGCAATCATACTAATAAGTAAATAATAATAATGGATTTTTTCTTGTTAATTTTATTATTCTTTATTGTTTCATTTTATTAGGGCACGAATATTGGGATCTGCAACAGATGAAAACAATGATTCAGAGTAAGTTACACTAGTCCTGTAGATCATCTTACAATGATTTTATTCACATATGTACATGTGTACACCAGGGGTGAAGTTAGGTCATCCATGCTCTGATTTACTTAATACAAAATATTGTTGGCTGATCATTACGTGATGCATTAAGATTCCTCTGATCCTTTCTTTTTCACGACCTGAGTTAGTATGTTGTTTGCTAGAAGAAAGATCTTTGCCTAAAGAGTGTGGTCCAGGCATCCCAATTCCCCTTAGCGACATGCCTGCATATAATGCAAGGTTAATGTACATTTTCCATAGTCATTTGTTTCAAATGCTGCTCTTGTCATAGGATTGTATCTGTAGTTTTCTCTCCCTGCAGAAAACACAAATGTCCTCAATTATTGTTCTGCAATTAACAAAAATGTACATGTTACTTTAACTTTCAATTATACAGAAGTGATGTCAGACCACAATTACTACAAGTGGAGCAGAAACTGCCAGAGAATGTCATACGTTTACCAAGGTAGAGTAGATTGTTTTTTATGCAATATTGTAAACTTTAAAAATGTAGTGTATTTGGGAAAGATTGGTACAGAACATACAATTGGACGTATCCTTATGACTATTCTTTGTTGTTGGTTTCATGGTGTAGTCCCTTCCATTGGCGCGATTTCTTGAGAAGTTATTGCACTCACAACTTGACACATAAGCTAAAACCCTGTGTTTTGGTTTTTCACTCACGTGACCTAATGAAGTCTAGCCATGGGATTTTGTTTCCTCGTGTGTGGTCATTCATCACACAGACACTGTGCATCACCACCACCAATGGTTGCAGAGGGCCACGAGTGTATTATCATTATTATTATTATTATTATTATTATTATTATTATTATTATTATTGTTATTATTATTATTATTATTGTTACTATTATTATTAATATTATTATAATATCATCGTTATTATTATTATCATTATTATTATTATCATTATTATTATTATCATTATTATTTACTATTACCACCACCAACACAATAACAACAGTAAACCTAGATGGAAAACAACGTTGGCTACCATTCTAATTTATTAAAAAAATAAATCCAAAGTACGCTCGACTTGCTTGGAAGCAAAGTACTCTTGGGTGAAAACTTTAAAACGTGTAAGCTTTTTATGTCTTAAAAGGCATTATCTTTTTTCTTAAAAGGCATTATATATTCACCAATTGCCACAGAAATACTGTTGTGCATCTGTGTTGTAACATAAATCACATGGTCAGAGTTAGGAGGTTGTCTTCATTTAATGCTACATGTAACTCATAAATTTGTGCCCCACACCTAACATCCCCATAGGTCCATCTAATTCCGCGATCGTATCGAGTGCAATCTACGTTTAATGACATCTATGATAATGACTAAACCAGCGTTCCATATGACAAATATGTAAAGGTGTTAGATTCTAGTTTGCAGAAAAATGTGCGCTTTAAGGAAAAAAATACAAACAAATAAAAACAATTTAACAAACGAGGCCCATAACCTCACGAAAGCAAAAACAAAAACAGACTGTGACTATGGACAGGCTTCCTAAAACCCAAAATGTGGGTTGGTTCTAATCCCAAATCTAAATCAAAAGGTCATAGAGCCATGGTTAAACAAGTGGTTTTTTTTCCGATTTTTATTAATCGTTTCTTGCGATTATCGTTAACACAATTAGTTCGTGGGAATTAGACGCGTTTGACGCGCGTGTGATGCTACAGTATATGTGAGCGGTACTGTGCTTCCTTGCTTTTTCCGGCGAAGGCATGAGCACGCAACCGTGAAGAAAACCAAAGCATGATAACAAAACACGATAGCGATCGACTTATCCTGTTAACTGCAGGTAACATTTTTCGTGGCGTCTGTTATTGGTGCATATCGATAGCTTTAACTTTCTCACTCAATAAAACATTTGAAGGGGTCTTAATCTACCGTGAGAAGATGTAAATGTCTTACCACGTGCACTTGTATTTTTTAGGGGTCCAGCTGACAATGGTTCTAAAGGGTTTGAATTCGCAAGGTGAAATTAAATACACGATACACAAACTGATCAGTTGAAACAAAGTATTTTTCTTTAACTTCATCGAAAGCAAGGATCATAAATCGGGTATGGAGCGGAAGCATTGGCCTAGGGATATGTAGCACTCATCTGTCACTGGAAGGAGTTCCTGGGAACATTTTTATGCATGTAGTGGCTTGTCATGGGAGTGTGTTTTGTAATTATCAATGTCAGGCTGTCGAGTAGCCATCTGTGGTCTTCTGCACCTGCTTCAAAAACACAGAGAAAGTCGTATCAGCTTCACCTGGCGAAACAAATAAACCCTTACCCGACTGGACTTTACTTCTGCGGCATTTCTAGGAATGCTTCAACAACCCAAGACTGAGTAGTATTTCATTCAATTAAGTACTACCCAGTTCTCTTCAGCAACGTTGGTACAACAACGTGAAATATCAAGAATTTACTCGTCGAAACCAATTCAAATTTCCACCGACAGGACTTTTATCCGGTAATTTTGATTTGGAAAGCTGTCTTACCGGAATGGTAGAATTCGTTTACGAGTCGAGTGTACACTTCACGTTCATACAGAATTCCATTCTGAGTTTATTTTGGTTTGGAGACCAATCAGACTTCAAATCTCAGTGGCTGCACTGTGGGAATGTGATCGGCCAAACTTGGTCAAGACTTCATTCACTGGACAAAGACTCGGTGTGTGTGTAAACTTAAGAGTTAGAGCAACAATGTACCGAATTTAGAGTCAATCTAACTTCGGAAGGCAATTTTAAAGCGAAAGCATCGCTTTTTGTATTATTTTAACAACAGGTTACTAGATAGCTGCTAAAAAGGTTTAAGCTCAAAGACCTGGATGGAAAGGATCCCTAGATAAAGGACTGAAACTGTAGTATTCCCTGTTAGTGCCATTAACTTTTTTTGCCTAAAAACATCTTACTTAGCCATGAGTAACCGAATCACCGCTTTCAGTCTAAATATGACGAGAGCTTTTTGATTTTTTCCGTCTATCATTCGACAAACTTAGTATCAGTTAACCAAGCCTCCGTGTCAGTTTACTTACGTACATAGTAAGTCACTTCTTTTTCAGAGAAGATGACGTGCGCTTTGCACAAGGCTCGGAACACGCGACCCGCGTGATCTCCATTTGATCATATGATAGTATGGGCCACCCCAGTCTAGTCTCCGTTTGACACGCGATGGTATGAGCTACTCTAGTTTAAACACTGTTTGATCGCTTGATGGCTTGGTTCATTCCAGTTTGATTTCCCTTTGATCGTGTGGTAGTTCTGTCGAAGACAATTTCGAAGGACGGAAAGCACGCAGTCATTCACACAAAACGTGCATGCAGAACAAGGACCAGTTGACTAGAAAATCGATATCTTAGACCCTGTAGCCAGAATCTGGGCGTTTGATTCAATTATGAAAGTAATGGTCAGTTCTATTATTTTTCGGTCTTTTCGCTTCCTTTCAGGCCATTTTCTTTTCTCTTTTCTTCTCCGGGACTACCTTATTTAAGAGGAATAAGTATCAGTATTGGGATGAAAAGAATTGAAAAGCGTGGCCTTAATTTAAAATTTTATTGGCTTATGCCAGGAGGGTATTTGCCTCCAAAAAAACTTAAGCGTGAGAATGGATTTGCCGTACTTTAATTTCTCTTTAAAATAGAATCATCGGCATCAGAACTTATGTAAGAACGTGGAAATAGATCTGATACTAAAAAGGAAACTATTAATCCTTTACACCCTAACATCAATATGCATACTCACCATACTGCTCTCTAAGCATTTTCAAAAGTGCTGACAAGGAGAATGGGTTTAACAATTCAGAGCTTCTTTAATGGTTATCATCCCCTTTAATCTCGTGACCTTAAAGGCCCATTTTCAACCTTGATGCAATGCGGTCGTTTGTTTTTGTTTTGAACCACCGCTTTTGTTTAAGTAGCGCCTCTGATTGGTCAGTTATTTTTACCTTGTCACGTTGTCTCAAAATACCTTCTGCGTTTTTCTCCGATGAATTTGAAGAGCTTGTCAAAATAATTCTGTTTAAAACAATTCTATACGTTTTAATCGGGCATGGAATCAGATGAATCCATAGATTTTGTAGATTCCGAGGCAGTAAACGCTTATGGATCGGTTGTTGCTAAAGAGGAACACGAAAATCCTTGCGAGCATTTCGATTAAGGTGAAAATGTTGATTCACCACGTTTTCATCCATTCATCAACTTTTTTTAATTGAAGTTTGCCATCCTTATTAAATAGGACCAAAGGTCAGTTAAAATTTCCTGCCCGTGGAGAGGAAGTTGCGCTCGAAAGAGTGGTCGAGGTTGTTGTCCAAGCAAAGCAGCAAATAAGAATGGTAACGCAAACTGTCTGTTGCTGACGTTCCTACAAGGAAGTGACTAAACTTAAAATAATTAAACGTCCGGCAGTCAGATATTTTTTCAAATTTCTCCTCGAAATCCAAAAAAATTTATACGGAAATGTTCTTCCTTTATTTACAATCCTCAAGCGCTTCCAGGCAGCCTAAAATTTCGAACTTGATGTTTTCCGCTAACCCTGTATAAATAGTACGAAGCCATCCAAACGCTTGACACTTAAAAACTTTCCAATGACACGGTTGGACACGGTCCACAAATAACTCCATATTTCTCTTTGAAATATACCAATTTTTCGTGGGAAAATATTCTACCTTCGTTAACAATCCTCAAGCGCTTCTAGAAAGTGAAAAAATTTTAACATTGTCCGTTTCGCTGACCTTGTACACACAGTGCGAAGAGATCCAAGCGTGACACTAAGAAAATTTTCACCGAACACTACCGGACACGGTCTTCGAATAACTAAACGTCCGGCAGTCTGATATTTTTCCATATTTCTCTTTGAAAAATAACAATTTCTATTGGAAATATTTTATCTTCATTTAGAATCCTCAAGCGCTTCTAGAAAGTGAAAAAATTTGAACGTTGTCCTTTTCGCCGACTCTGTTCGCAGAATACGAAGAGATCCAAGCGTCACACTTGAAAAAAATTTTCTGCGGATTCTTTCGGACAAAATTCAAAATACTGGAAGGAAACTGTAAAATGACGAACGGCGAATGTATTTACCGTAAAATGGTTGACTATATGTCCAGGATGGCTCTTGAGAAAGACGATTTTAGAAAGTTTTCAGTGATCTGGGAATTTCGTGTTACAGGAAATTGGGTCCCGGCGCGCGTTGCATCAAGGTTAGAAATGGGTGTTTAATGCCGTTTATGAAGTAAGTGGGCTACTAACAGGAAAGCATAATAAACAGGACTTATAGTGCATAATTTGTTGTAGAAGGAGGCCGTTATCCGTTTTAAAAATGCGTGTGAATAACTCTTCGTAAGGTTTATAGTATAGTTTTATCTTAACCGCGAATACAAGCGTTCGATGATCTAAAGTATGCAAATGAAGTAAAAATTTTCTTCCCTTTCCCAGATCGAAAATGAAGCCAGGAAGGGAAAAGCCAGCTCAAGAGTTTCATTTTTTAATCTTTATTACTTAACATGGAAGAAAAACGAACTCGTTTTCCAGAGTCCACAGGTAGTAACATTAAAAAGCTAATCTCAAATGCTACCCCGGAAACTAAAAAACATTCAAACAAATTTTTCAGTCAACGTGCGGTACGAAGTTTAATGGAAGGTTTATAAAATAAATAAGCAACGTCTAATTTGCTGGTTTATCGGCTGATAATGCCCCTGGCTGATAATGCCCCTCGCTGATAATGCCCCTCGCTGAGAGATTGTCCTAAAAATTTCATATTTGCCCTCGAGGCTTTGCTTCTCGACCAAATATTCATTTTCCGGACAATATTTCAGCTGCCAACATTATCAGCCGACACATCGGTCGTCTAAAGGGGTTTATTTCCTGCATATTCTTAACTGGTTTAGCTGGGGCATATTCCATCACCATGTGTTGCTCGTTTCGAGCAATTGCGGGAAAGCAAAAATGTTTGATGGATCATAACTTCCGAGATCGAGCAGAAAGCCTCAAAAGCATTGATTTAAAATTTCCCCGCAATTGCTTTTCTTTCGAATAAATTCAAAAATCCTCAACTGCTGCACGACGTTTTCACCTCCGTTGCTTCCTTCGCTGGATTCGCTTAATAAGCGCGCATTTATCGCCTTCATCGCAAAGGCCATCATCATAAAAACATCAAGAACACAGATAAGATCTACATCTCGCCGGCTCTCAAAAAGGTTAAAGAAGATGTTATATTCAAAATAAGGCTTCCTTTTCTTAATTTTCCAATTCTTCCTTATGAAGGTCTCCCTTTGCCCTTTAAAGAGTCTGACTAATATTTGATTTGAACTAACATACATTGGTATCTCCAGAATTGCGAAAAGATGCTGACCAATATATTATGTCAACTGAGGCAGTGGATGAAAATTAAAATCCGCGGCGAAAACTCTCGATCTTCAATCACGCATGTGCAGTTCAGAGTTGACTTAGGCTCCCACGGGATGTTCTCAGTCAAAAGTGTTAGACGTGAAGGTGTCATTCTTTTTTTTTTTTTTTCTTTTTTTTTCCCATTCCTTCTTTTCGTTCCTTGATACATTAATTTATCATCAACAACTTAACACGAATCACTTTCTGCCATTTGATCGTCTGTCGCAGAATTAATGACAGACATGTTCACCTGTTGTAAACATTGCGTGTTATGAATATGACCAGAATTTACATTAACAGCGTGAATTTTTTGAAGCGAAAGGGAAAGAAAAATTGGCTGTTCGTGCTTTTTACTTAAAATGGTTCTCACCATGTAGTTTATCCAATTCTTTGTGGGATGATGCTTAGTTACTTTTTTCACCAACAATAAGAAAGATCAAAACATTTACAAAATAACAATGAAAAACCATCTTCTCCACGTCCAAATAAAATCGAATACCTTACTTTCTTGTATAATAACCATATTGAATGTCCAAAGCTAGAGACACTGCTGGCTACAAAAAGGAAAGTCCACTTTTTTCTAGAAAGCGTCGAAAGTATTCGGTCTAATATTGCATTGTTTTACTTCATCGCTCCCTAAGAATGGTCTAGAAAACTTGCGCCAACGTCTTAATGGGCAGAGACAAGCTGAAAGCAATCCACGTTTGGTCACCTGTTTTACTTTGAAGGATCAGTGGCTCCTGCCGATAAATTCCTTGGTTCTGTTTGGTTTTGTGCCCATGTGATGATTAATTTAATTGAGAACGTGACACGGGTGAATAACAATACCGAAATCTTAAAGTTTATCATGTTGAACATCACCGGTGAGTCAAACGCTCCTCCAGCTGTCCGAGAATTCTAAAAGATATGATTAATAGGAGGCCATCCCTTTTTTGATTTACAGCTGTAGTCAACACCTTTCGTTTTGGAAAACCAATTGAACGAAGATTTCCTCAAAAATTGGTGGGAACCAACATACTTTCATTTCACCCAAGCACATTAGAAGCCAGCTTAGGATAAACATTCGTCTCATCAACTGCAATATAAGAAGAAAAGCAAAAGTTGCAGCAACAACGATAACACTCCAAATAAAATGGCCGATCTACCATCACGCAGTGTAGCTTTGACCATCGTGGAGTCCGGCTTTATGACTGCACTGAACATTTTTTCGCTGGGAGGTAACATCATGGTGTGTATAGCCGTTTACAGGAATACAAGACTACGTTCTACCACTAACATTTACATCATCGCGTTGGCTATCAGCGATCTTTTGAGCGCCATTTTCGTCATGCCGTTTGCAGCCGGAGTGCTCATTTCAGGAAGATGGCCCTTTGGTAAAGTACTTTGCCAGATAAACGCCTTTTTCAGCCTATTTGTTGTCTACGTTTCACCCGTGACGATGGGTTTAACAGCAGTTAACAGATACATGAGAATATGCAAGTCAG